TCATTCATAGTGCAACTATTTTTGTAAAAAAAATACCATGTTCATTTAACGTTTATATATACAATAAAGCAATAACGTATATTCAAAATACAACTTTTCTTGTGGTTTTTATGTGGTGTTGCCAATGCCAGAGCAACCCCATGAAGACATAAATTATCAAGTTCTGATACTGACAAAAAATAAGTAAGTATGTAAGCATATATTTGCAAACACAAGAGCAGCCTTTTGAAGAAGTGACCTTAGTGCAGCTGAAGGGTCGTTGTCGGCACAGGCACTACAGATGTGTACCCCAGGTATGTTTCTGTATACAGAAACGTACCCTAGCCAAAATCAGCATACAGAAACGTACCCTAGGACGATTCCATACCCACTGTGTCGTTTTCTTGATCGGAACTGTCATACTGTTGTATTAGATACATTTGATTGCGTTATATAAAAAACGAACATACACAGTAACGGTTATATTGCGATGCCCAATACCACTCGTAAACTACATACGGTTACGGTTTGGGATTGCGGAATATGGACTCGTCCGCCTTTTAGGGTACCGGGTACGTTTCTGTACTCTGACTTTGTTTAGGGTACATTTCTGTACCTGGGGTACGTATCTGTAGTACCTGTGCCGACAACTACCCCTTCAGCCTTAGTAAGTACTGAATGAACATCCCAAATTCATGACCAATTGTTGGCATGTGTGTACATGCCACACACTGTTCAGCTGTGTTCAGTAAACAATAAAGTATGAAACAAACGACAAATTGAAAGTGAGCAGTTATTAACGCTGAAGGCATCTTTGTTGGAATGGTTACTACAGGTACGTTTCTGTATACAGAAATGTACCCGAAACAAAGTCAAAATACAGAAATGTACCCGGTACCCTAAACGTCAGATAGTCCATATCCGCAAGTTAACGCAATCAAATGCATCTAATACAACAGTATGTTTCTGTATTCTGATTTGGGCTAGGGTATGTTTCTGTAGTACCCTGCCGATAACGATCCCTTCAGCGTTATTAACACCCCAGGGTTTGATCTGACTTGAACAGAGTATGACCATCGTCTTGTCAGCGGTGTCAAACATGATATACAAGGGGCCTGGTTGAACCCATGATATACAAGGGGCCTGGTTGAACCTAGCTCCCTTACGGCGCCACAACTTCCCACACGCTCATATACACCAACTCATATTGTGACTGACTGACTGAGTTTGGTTTTACGCCGCTTTTAGCAATTTTCCAGCAACATCACGGCGGGGACACCAGAAATGGGCTTCACACATTGTACCCATGTGGGGATTCGAACCCGGGTCTTCGGCGTGACGAGCCAACGCTTTAACCACTAGGCTACCCCACCGCCCCAACTCATATTGTGAATAAATACACTGCATAAGAAATCTCATACATAAGAATAACATCCATGCATTTAAAACATTTATTCAATAAATTCAACAATATCTATACCAACAAAAAATGACAATATCACAGATTTAAAGTATGACAACAAAATAACTTGGACCTTACATGATATACATGTATCCGTATGTATCATCACCAACTCCTGGTTGGAAAAATTGGAAAATCATATCCTAATTTTCTAAGTTGTATATCAAAGAACATTGTTTGTGCCAAATACACAAAAAGTCACACTGATGAAAAGTGTCACAACCAGAAGAACATAAATAACACCAACAATGACATGATTCAGGGAAGGGTTGCTTTCCTATTTACAAGTACATGTATTAGCGATAATGAGTTGATGATTACATGTCTTCACTACAAATGCCAGACTGACATCATTTCATTGTCCTAAGTAGCCACAGTAAAGACACTTAAACCATGTTCCTGTTCCACCTGTTCTAAACTGGACGGACTACGGCCAAACACAGTCTTCTCACACCTCTACGTCTCTGGGTAAATGAATCAGCATATATCTGTGTGCTGCCTCCCAGTTTGGGAAGTGTAACAATATAATAGTTAATGGCTATCCTAATTATTTGTGTGTTGTTCAATGACACACTCAGAAAGTTTCCAGCTATATCACCGCTGTAAACATTTAAACCTGGACTATACAATGCAGTGACTGACATCGTGACCATCAGTGAATACAGAATGCCATTTAGAAAGTGGTCAAATGCGGCTGACTTTAAGGTGTTTTTTGTGGACATACCCTTGGTAGCAACAGCCCCTCTTAGGGTCATGAAATGCTTTGGTTGCATATAATCAGCCCAATGATAGACGTTTCGAGTAGACAAGAGATCGTAATTGGATAGACATAAATATTTATGTTATGGAAGCCTCGTAAATATCAATCAATACACATCGAGGTATGAATGAAATAATAATCTGTCACTCAAAGATAACAGAGGCATGGTAAATATATGTTCGGACCATGGCAGGCAATGAGATACGATAAAACAAAAGCTGGTGGTCCGTCTAGAGTTACGCCCCTCTGATTGCTTTGTTTGAGTTTTTATAACGCATCTCGCGAATAGGCGCCGACCAAAAGATGCGGCATAAATCTGTACCATATCAGGACTTACATGTGCAGGTGCTGGGTCCGGAACTACTTTCGTACACGTGACTTCAATACATGGCGGCAGTTAGGAAGGTTCATGCCCTGCTTAGTGTTACGTTGATGGCATATAGAAAGTATATAATATATATAGAATATAATGATCATAATATAAGTCTGAGTTTCTCTAATAGTGATGTCCCTGCTATCAAACACTGGGCTAACTGGTCCAGACTGGATTATTAGTGAGTGAGTGAGTGAAATTTGAAGAAGAGTAGTTAATGCGTTAAATCGGATTAAGATTTGGTTCCCATTTAGATGGTCAGATCCTTACTGCTAAATGTTGGGCAAAACGGTGGCGGAGCGGGTTAGGTGGCTGACTTTGTGTGCTGGCGATTAGATGCCTGACTCTTGAGGGTGTGGGTTCGAATCCTAGTACTCAACCCAAGAATTGTACTAGAATCCGTACTTTACTGAGAAAGTGTAATCCCAAATATAACATATGTGACATCATGACCATCAACCTGTACAAGTGGGATACGAAAACATGCATCAATCAAGTCAGCGAGCCTGACCACCCAATCCCCATAGTCACCTCTTACGACAAGCATGGGTTACTGAAGATTATCTCTAACGTATACCTTCATGGGTTTAGATAGAGATAATCTCAGTTTTACAGGTGGTTCTGATAACAACACCTGAACCTCGTCTGGGAGTGAGTGAGTTTGGTTTTACGCCGCTTTTAGAAATATTCCAGCAGTATCATGGCTAGGGACACCAGGGCCTAGATTTTCTAAGCTCTCTTAGAGCTAAGATAGTTGTAAGTTAATGTTAATGTATGGCACTTACGACTATCTTAGTGCTAAGAGAGCTTCGAAAATTTAGGCCCAGAAATGGGCTCCACACATTGTACCCATGTGGGGAATCGAACCCGGGTCTTCAGGGTGACGAGCGAACGCTTTAACCACTAGGCTACCCCACAGCCTCACCTAGTCTGGGAAGGGCCTTAGACAATTCATTATAATGAAATAACATGAGTCATATGATGATATGTGTACAGAGATTTCCTGAGATGGAAAGAGTGGAGATACTTAGCTCATGAGCTCATGAACTCATGAGTGAGTGAGAGAGATGTGTTTAATACTCCTGTGGACAGTATTCCAGGTATGTGGCAGCATGTCAGTTTAAAGCTGGAGGTAAGCCTGACGTGACAAAGGTATTAGTTGTTTACCACTTTAGTGAAACTCAGGTGTACTGGAATGGTCAGGACAAACCTAGAAACATAATGAAGACAAACCAGTAATCAGATGCTGGCAGCTCAACTCTGCAATGATTTCCCCAACCATGCCACTATGGAGGCTGGTGTCCTTCATCACTAACACAATGGAAAAACCAAATAGATGTCATCACAATCTTTATATCATTCACCAGTAATAATGCTGTGAGTTTTGGACGGAAGTGTTTGTATTGATGATAAAATGCATTTAAATAAGAACATTAATTGGTGCTAAACTGTTGTCTCAAAAGTGTCGAAAAGAATCATGTACATATTATACAAGAACATTCCACACACAGATGTTGACCACAATGGTGACGTCCACATGCATGGTGCTGGCAAAGCCCAGAAACACAATCAAGGCAAATCTGGTATTCAAGCCAAGATAAAAAAATAATTGCCACATCTGTAGGGTAGCAAACTGTGACGTCTTATGCAACTCGCCATCAAAACCTCCTTTGGTATTGAGAAACATACAGTGAGTGAGTTTAGTTTTACGTCACTTTAGCAATATTCCAGCAATATCGCAGCGGGGGACACCAGAAATGGGCTTCACAAATTGTACCCATGTGGGGAATCGAACCCGGGTCTTCGGCGTGACGAGCCAATGCTTTAACCATTAGGCCACTCCACCGCCCAAAGAGAAATATACAGCCACCTGACTATTACAAAAAGTGACTTGAGCCAATCTCCCTATAACACAATGTAACACAAAGTTATTATAAACCACCACAGTAATAAACAGTTCCACCAAAAGTTCATCAGAGGTCGTTTCTCCACCAAGCATATAATTTTGTTTACTAGACCGATTACAGAAGTAATTTTAGTAACACCATGTTCACAACCGGCTAGTCATCATACATGCAGGTTCACATGCAGGGAACTCAACATTGTAACCATGGTAACATGACCTTCAATTAACATCATGAAATTCAATTCTCTTCTTCTTGGGTGCTCAAAACTTGATGAAACAAGGACATTCACTGTTATCACAATGAAAGAAATCTTCAACAACACCAACGGATCATGGGAGAGTTTGCTGAACGTTATTAAAGATAGAGGAGGGAGGATTCATGTAAGGTTTTTTTCATTTTTTCAGCATTTTGATAAATCTTTTGAACATTTAAGTCTTTTCAAAATGAACATAAACTTTAGTGTATAATAACATAATACAAAGCATGTTCAAGAACTTTGTACAAAAGAACTCATCAAAACTTATAATTTTGACCTTTGGTTTAAAAACACATCCAGCAAATGACCCCTTGGAGGTCGGTTACGAGTGATACACTTTGATGATGTTGTTGATATCCTTGCGACAAATTGGACATCCATCCTTGCGGTTGTGGAGCATCTTGGAGCATTCATAGCATGTGACCATGTGGTGGCAGGGCTGCAGCAGACAGTTCCGCAGTCGGTCCATGCAGATGGCGCAATCACGGTCCATGGCCTCACTTGACACCATCGCTGGGGAAAGAAAAATTAGCCCTGGAAATGTTTCTTTGTTTTTAAGATCCACTCATTAGTATTTGTTGAAAATGAAGCCTCAGCAAATTTTCCTAATTTTTATATAACCCTGATCTCATCACAAATAACTCAAAACGCTCACAAATCTGTAAACAAATATGATGCATTGTACAGTTTAAAAGTAAATGGTTTCCATTAAGTCCAAATGACATAGCTCTGTATAGCAATTTGAGCAGCTGGGCCACCATTACCCATTGATTTAACTAAAGCAGTAGCCATATGGAAGCGTGTTTAGATGTTGGTAGGTATTATTGAAAGCATTTTCCAAATCCTTCCCTCGAAAAGTGTTACTTTAAAATCATTTTTTCAAATTTGGCATATCTATTAACATCAACCAAGAGGAAGAAGATGATTTCTCTGACCTTCAGGCACTGAGCAAGTCAATATGCCAGTACATTTTCATAACAATATGTGTTACTGCAAGGGTGTGTCAACCATGTGTGTATTGAAACAATGGTATGTGAAACATGTGAGTGCTGATACAAGGGTGTGTCCACCATATGTGTATTGAAGCCATGGCATGTGAAACATGTGAGCGCTGTTACAGGGGTGTGTCCACCATGTGTGTATTGAAGCAATGGCATGTGAAACATGTGAGTGCTGCTACAAGGGTGTGTCCACCATGTGTGTATTGAAGCAATGGCATGTGAAACGTGAGTGCTGCTACAAGGGTGTGTCCACCATGTGTGTATTGAAGCAATGGCATGTGAAACATGTGAGTGCTGATACAAGGGTGTGTCCACCATGTGTATATTGAAGCAATGGCATGTGAAACGTGAGTGCTGCTACAAGGGTGTGTCCACCATGTGTGTATTGAAGCAATGGCATGTGAAACATGTGAGTGCTGTTACAAGGGTGTGTCCATGATTTGTGTATTGAAGCAATGACATGTGAAACATGTGAGTGCTGATACAAGGGTGTGTCCGCCATGTGTGTATTGAAGCCATGGCATGTGAAACATGTGAGTGCTGATACAAGGGTGTGTCCACCATGTGTGTATTGAAGCAATGGCATGTGAAACATGTGAGTGCTGATACAAGGGTGTGTCCACCATGTGTGTATTGAAGCAATGGCATGTGAAACATGTGAGTGCTGATACAAGGGTGTGTCCACCATGTGTGTATTGAAGCAATGGCATGTGAAACATGTGAGTGCTGCAACAAGGGTGTGTCCACCATGTGTGTATTGAAGCAATGGCATGTGAAACATGTGAGTGCTGATACAAGGGTGTGTCCACCATGTGTGTATTGAAGCAATGGCATGTGAAACATGTGAATGCTGCTACAAGGGTGTGTGTACCATGTGTGTATTGAAGCAATGACATGTGAAACATGTGAGAGCTGCTACAAGGGTGTGTGTACCATGTGTGTATTGAAGCAATGACATGTGAAACATGTGAGTGCTAATACAAGGGTGTGTCATCCATGTGTGTATTGAAGCAATGACATGTGAAACATGTGAGTGATGATACAAGGGTGTGTCCACCATGTGTGTATTGAAGCAATGGCATGTGAAACATGTGAGTGCTAATACAAGGGTGTGTATACCATGTGTGTATTGAAGCAATGGCATGTGAAACATGTGAGAGCTGCTTCAAGGGTGTGTGTACCATGTGTGTATTGAAGCAATGACATGTGAAACATGTGAGTGCTAATACAATGGTGTGTCATCCATGTGTGTATTGAAGCAATGACATGTGAAACATGTGAGTGCTGCTACAAGGGTGTGTCCACCATGTGTGTATTGAAGCAATGGCATGTGAAACATGTGAGTGCTGCTACAAGGGTGTGTCCACCATGTGTGTATTGAAGCAATGGCATGTGAAACATGTGAGTGCTGATACAAGGGTGTGTCCACCATGTGTGTATTGAAGCAATGGCATGTGAAACATGTGAGTGCTGCTACAAGGGTGTGTCCACCATGTGTGTATTGAAGCAATGGCATGTGAAACATGTGAGTGCTGATACAAGGGTGTGTCCACCATGTGTGTATTGAAGCAATGGCATGTGAAACATGCGAGTGCTGCTACAAGGGTGTGTCCACCATGTGTGTATTGAAACAATGGCATGTGAAACTGTGAGTGCTGATACAAGGGTGTGTCCACCATGTGTGTATTGAAGCAATGGCATGTGAAACTGTGAGTGCTGATACAAGGGTGTGTCCACCATGTGTGTATTGAAGCAATGGCATGTGAAACATGTGAGTGCTGCTACAAGGGTGTGTGCACCATGTGTGTATTTCTATAGGAAAGTATTACCATCATCATCATGAACGCGTGGCGTGACGTTTCCTCGATGCGACAAGGCTGGGATTGTGTTCTCCTTTGTCTGCAGACTCTGAATCTGTTCCAGGCGAGCTGCAAGAAATACAATCATGTATTAACATATATTCTACAGTGTATCCCCACTAAAGGACCTGTATTCAGGTTAACAAGAAAGAAAGGTTCATTGAGTCACATCAGACATGTACATAAAGTCCTTTATTTCATATTTTAAACTTACGTATTATTTTCTCATTACTATACTAGAACATATTTCTTTCGTCAGACATCCCAGAGTGAGTGAGTATGGTTTGTTTCCAGTTTTAGCAATATTCCTGTAATGTCGTGTTCAGAAACAGGCTTCACACGATTAACCAATGAGAGAATCTAAAACGTTTTGGAATTATGAGAGAACACTATAACCACTAGTGAGTGAGTGAGTATAGATTTAAGCCACTTTTAGAAATATACTCGAAAATATCATGGCTGGGGGAGACCAGAAATGGGCTTCACACATTGTACCCATGTGGGGCTACCCCACGCCCCCTATAGCCACTAGGCTACCCAACTGTCTCTCCAGCCATGAACACAACATCATAATCTCGAAGCAAAAGCAGACTGGGCAAAAGAAATAAGAATTGATTATAGACAGTAGATAGTTTGTGCTGTAGTCACGACTAGGTGAAAGATTCATAACCTATCTTGATATTTTTCATGTCAGCTGAAATTATTTTCTAAAATTTTACCTTCAGCGATACTTTAGCTGATAAACATAGTTTGCAAGAAAAACCATCTTGGAACTACATTTCCTAAGCTTTATACAAATGATGTTTCAGTCCTATTGGCAGAAGGTTTCAAAGTACTGGCTCACCCTGCTTTCGTTTGTCTCTCTCATCCTCGGAGAGAATTAGGGGGAATCCTCCAGACCGGAAAAACAATGTCTTGCCCATCCTCTCCAGCATGATGCGCACTGGGGATGAGACAGGAATGTATATTGTTACACTGTCTGACAAACATGACACATACTTACGTTCACACTCTATGTATCCATACACAGTTAACTTCAAAGGTCGATGTAAAAATAATTAAGCACTGCAATCTGATGTTGTTTTAACAGGAATAGACTTTAGGAATCTACAATGTGACCTCCCCTCATGGTTCAGTTGCAAGGCAGACCTTGAGACAAACAAGGGAGATAACTCTGTGAGGCATGGCCATGTTCCACTGCACCATATCCAGGGTTTGACTTTACTCTATACATGACCTGCAATCAACTAAATACAAGTAACTGTTCAACATCAACACAGAGTCTATAGAGACTCTCTTCATTCCCACCAATGTTTCGATGAGGTGATGAGAAGTGGATGTTCAGAGAGAACTTTGCATACATGTTTGTTGATTAATACTGCACTCAGCATACATTCCAACTGTATGATTGTGTCCTGTTTATAATCAAGTCAGGACCTTGACAAACCAGTGACTGACATCATGAGCATTGATTTACACAACTGGGATATGATGATATCCATCAAACAAGTCAGTCAATAATCCTGATTACCCAATTCAGTCAGGGCCCTCACATGTCAAGAACAAGCTAGAGAGACCCTATTTTAACGTGACATTCCCATAGTATAAAACTGTATCAACAACCATTATGGATTTACCTGATATGATGACTATCTGATCTAAAAGACTGCCATGGTCTTGTCTTATCAAACACACTAAAGCCATTGCACACATGGCTGTCGAGTTTGGGGATATCATGCAATCCCTGAACAGATCATCCTTATCTGTGTTATGGTGAATGAAGGGAAAAATGTCGATGCCAGTAAACAACCCATCCACTGAATACAAGCCCTATGGCTTTGTCAGAAGAGAAGTAGCCATCGGCAGCCCATCCCCTCGAGATCCCCCCAACGTCATCCAAATCAGGTAGGCTCTTGTTAGTGTTTGTGATGACCGTAGCATGTTATTTACATTTTGACTATAATACAAAGCAAGTAACTAGGACCAATAAAAGCATGTGTTATATCCATTAGGCATTTTCAGGTGTGTCCTTCATGAAAGCAGTGGACAGTAGTTACCAGTGGTTCTTTCAACAAGGTCTAGTAACTGTGGTAGTCTGTTTGCCTGGACCTTGAGTAGGAGCTGGGTACCTACGGGACAATGAGGGCTGGGAGCTCACTTCCAGGATGTGTTTCAATAGTCCTTGTCTTGCCGCTACATGGTAACCCTGGATGCATGGCAAGACTGAGACCAGCCTAACATTAGACTGTATGTGCTCCTCATTGTTTTCAGACAGCTTCAGAGAGGGATGATCAAAAGGAGGCCTTACTTTTTACAGGACGTCCTGCCTAGGCTGAGATCATGGATCTTTGTCAAGATATTAAAGATATTAACATCTGGAGCCTGATAGGCAATCCCTCCAAACAAACTGCTTTCGCTGTCCAAATATTTGAGAGAAGTACTCATATACTAACTGTCCTACTAGAAATGCTCACAGGATAGGGCAAAACCACTGCAGTTTGATCCCAGTTTGTCCTAAACTAAAGGATACAGCAGATTTCAAAGCAAAGGTGAGATTATTTGCTTTCATGGATGAGCTGGCTTGTCATCTCATGTGTCTAGGGTGTGCTGGTACTGGCAGGTTATATTAGAAAAGGCCACTGGACTGTGGTTCTGTTCAGCTCTGTCATTCAGCAAATAGTTCTCCCCAGAATGTGAAAAATCCTTGATGGGGATTGAGAGCCTGTGGAGGCAGAAGGCCAGCATCCACATTGGCTTCAAAGATGGTACAATAGTTTTCAAAGATGGTACAATAGGCTTCAAAGATGGTACAATAGTCTTCGCCAGTATTCTTGATTAAAGGAAAAGATTCTCAGTATGTTGTAGACTAGAATTGGAGAAGAGGGAGCAATATGGATCTCTTTCACATTTGCTTGGAAGTTGCCGTCAGTCCTAATGAGCATCATCATTTTGACCTTGAACAAAACATCTAGAACATGAATCTCACTAACTCTAGCTGCAGTTGCCACAGCGATGTAGACGGATAAGGTAATAGATTCTAATGGTTGACTCTAGTGGCCGACTGAGGTGGTGTAAGATCCGTTGAGATAAAGAAGGTCCTCCAGACAAAAGCTTATTCAGTAAGGTGCCAACCTCTGCAGTCTAGGAAAGTTTCCTCAAAGAAGACACAACCCAAACAGTATCAACAGCTGACCAGTAAGGTGAAGATGCAGGTGTTCGCATTTGCTTCAGTGTCTGGAGTACATGAGACAGAAACACAGGCTGAAACATGTGTCAGCATGGTGATGTTATGATTGGGCAGAATTCAATACAAACTTCTTCTTCTTCTTACACACAGCTGCATCTATGAAAACAAGTTTTCTCAATATCTTAAAAGCCTTGTTTATCTCCATGTTCCAAGCCGATTGCTCCGCTCGTCAGCCTCCCTACTGCTTTCACAGCCTCACGTCAAAACAGCCATGGGATCAAGAGCGGTTTCTGCTGCAGCCCTCTATATCTGGAACATTCTACCACTCGCCCTAAAGAAATAGAATCTGATGACGCTTTAAAAACTGCCCTCAAAACTCATCTTTTCAAACTCTCTTTTCCATAGACATTGTCTACAATCTTTTCTCTTTATAGTGCCATTGAGCAATATCGTTTGGAAATAGGCTCTCTATAAATCAATTATTTTTATGATTGCCATGGCTCTGTGATCCAAGGTGATGGGATCTGAGGAACATGGGCCACAAATGGTTGAACAATACGAACAGCTTGATGATTGGTAAGCCAAGCTGTGGACACACAACACGCAAACTTTCTGTGGTGAACTGTTTGGAGCCACTGGGACAGCCATCTGCAAGGAAACTGGTAACTCCTGAAATGTTTGAGATGCAAGAGAATCAACCAGCTGGTTGAACTGAATAGTGAATAGTTGTGAGTACAACTGAGTGCTGATGTTGGTCTATTTTGTAAACCATGGTTGAATTATATGGGGCTATCATCAGTTCTGCATGATGAAATGTTTTGTGCCATTGATTGATACTCAGAATGAATGTTTAGTGTTTGTTGTTGGCGTCCTACACCTGTCACTGTCACTCAGATTTTGTAAAGCCCCAATTCTGGTTGACGCCGCCGCTCAAAAGCGCTAAATGAACTTTGGAAAGTATGTTTGATGTTACAGACCATTTTGAATATATAACTCATTCTACCATGACTTCAGTAAATACTGGATTGTGATTGGTCAATTAAAGTGATTCAGAGGTATATAATTTTCCAACACAGTATGAATATTTTTTAAATCTCTGTAACGCGTTCGGTTTTAAATCAAATTAAGAGCTATTATGATTTAGTTATATACCTCAGCCGTCTGATTTTCCAACACAGTATGTCTATTTCCTAATTATTTGCAATTTGAATGCTATGAGCTCTTGCCGATATCAAAGATGAAAGGGGATATTGTTCCTCAGGCATGGTCCAGCTTTCTCGAATGAGCGATCTTCATATGATTCTGTCCTTGTGATCAGGACTGATCACTTGATCTAACATATCTGGTTGGGTTATAATCTTGTAGAAGATGTATTAGGTAGAAAGGAGCAAGGCCAATGTGAGCAGAAGAGTTTTGCATACAATCTTCTACTTGACAGCCAGCCAGTGGAGTAACACAGGAGTTGTGTTCTAATGTTCAGCAACAAGTGATGACTCTAGCTGCAGTCTTATCAAGTTATCCAAAAGATAAACAGGAATACTGTATTGGAGCTAGTTGCAATAGTCCCATGTTTTATACTGGAAATGGTCACGAAGGAGAACATCACTGATGATGAACAACGAGGAGAGTTATATGGATATAATAATATAATAATAATAGGCCACTTGTATTGCGCATTACTCCATGCTTGATGCATGCTCGAAGCGCACAGTCAAATAAAAAGAGTTCAGAGCTGTTGAAAGAGATAGGTCTTGAGTTGACGTCGGAAAAACATTAGATTTAGAGATGTTCTGATTGATTCTGGGAGGCTGTTCCACGCGGATGTCGCTGCACATGAGAAGGAACGCCGGCCATATCTCACAGTCTTGATGTTGGGAATGCGACACAGAAGCTTGGACTCAGAGCGTAGGGATCGAGGAGGAGTGTAGATAGGCAGGTCCTGTAGGTAGCCTGGAGCGTCGCCGGACAGACACCGGTGGGCTAAGCAGTGGATCTTGAAAGTAATCCTGTGCTGCACTGGAAGCCAGTGTAGATCCTTCAGGATTGGAGTGATATGATCTTGTTTACGGGCGAGTGACACAATCCTGGCGGCCGTATTCTGTACACGCTGGAGACTATTTATCTGCACAGCAGAGGCTCCAACAAGGAGACTGTTACAGTAGTTGATCCTTGTCATGACTAGGGACAGTATGAGAATGATGGCTGATTCTTTGGTCATGTTGCTGATGTTCCTCAACTGAAAAAAACACATCTTGGTTATTTGGCTGATGTGACTGTCCATGGAGAGGTCAGAGTCCAAGATTACACCCAGGTCTTTGACACTCTCTGACACTGGTACCTCAGTATCTCCAATAACCAAGGTAGTGAGTCCGGACTCTAAACGCCTTGACTTTGGTCCAACCACAACACACTCCGTGTTTTCAGCATTCAACTTGAGCTTGGTGGTCGACATCCATTTCTGTATGTCATGACAGCAGTTTGTCATAGCTTGAGCTGCCCACTATGCTTTAGATTGATTAGGCTTGAAGAGTGATGCCAGCTGAGTGTCATCTGTGTATAGATGCCTGTTGATCTCATGTACCTTAATGACTGAACCAAGTGCCTTGGTGTACAGTGTGAATAGAACTGGTCCCAAAACCGACCCCTGTGGCACACCGCTTGAGAGATTCACTGGAGCTGAATAGACTCCATCGATATACACCGATTGATACCAATTCGACAGATAGGATTTGAACCAGGACCATACAGTACCATTG